ACAACATGACTGCAGTGACTCCAAGAGAATCCTCTTTCTTGAATTCTAAAATTTTGTGAGGTTATTTAAAAGAATTTTCAATTTGTCTGGCTACATCTTCCTTAGTAGAATAAAAATATTTTATATAAGAAAAAACCTGGTTATTTTGAGGATTTAACGAATGTAGATAATGAAAAGTGAAAAATCATTTAATATGACTTGTTACATAAGTAGAATGAAGAGAAGTAAAGAAAATTGTAAAAATTTTCCAGATTTAGAGGCAAACCTGGGAATTTATCTGAAGAGTACATGCTGTTAGAATAAGTGATAATCTCATGAGAAATGTCTGAACATTTCATGAGTTTGGATATCTGTGAGCAGMTTTGACCAAGTAAATAAGATCCACACAAGAAGTAATCTGGCATTGATAAAGAATAAACTAGTTGATTTGATTTGTCTTTTTCATGTTAAAATTCATGGATGACATAAAACTACAATAGATGTTTTCTTTTGCCTTTAGTTTTGTGTGCTTTGGGTATGTCATTATTCTTAAAAGAAAGAATGCAGACAGTTCTGTAGTAATGTTCTAGAGAGCCCACTTGCCACGGACCTTTTGCCAGGCCACACTGTAAAATATAGGTTTTTTTTCTGTAATTATGTACTTTGTTCTTTACTACGCAATAGACTTTTTCCTTATAATTCTATAAAGTAATTTTTGGGGGACGGTACTGGGGATTAAACTTAGGGGCACTTGACCACTGAGCCACATCCCCAACTCTGTTTTTTATGTTTTATTTAGAGACTGGGTCTCACTGAGTTGCTTAGCACCTTGTTTTTGTTGAGGCTGGCTTTGAACTTGCAATCCTTCTGCCTCAGCCTCCCAAACTGCTGGGATTAGAGACGTGCACCACTGTGCCTGGCTCTATAAAGCAAATTTTTAAATAGAAGAAATTATATGTGTTGTGTGTATGTGCACACGCGTAGGGGGTGATCTCTCATTCTATGTACCAGGTAGGTCCTTGAAACTATGTATAGAGAAAATAAAACCAGGAAGTGAGAGGGGTTAGCTACTTGGGAAGCATAGGAAATATATCAAAACCTAATATATACTGGGCAAAGGGTAGGGAGGGTAGAGAGGGTGCATGGGGGCAGGAAATATGGTGGAATGAGATGGGCATCCTAGGTACATGTATGACTGCACATATGGTGCAACACCACATCGTGTACAACCATAGAAATGTAAAGTTGTGCTGCAGTTGTGTACAATGAATCAAAATGCATTCTGTTGTCATATATACATATTTTAAAATAAATTGATTAATTAAAAAARCCCTAATTTATGCAGAAAAGTGTTTTAGTGGTGGTGGGGAGAGGAATATTTTGACTAATGTTGAATCAAACAGGATAAGACAAACCTGACATAGGCAAGGGCAAGAGAGAGCAAGGAAAAGTTCAAGGTTAAGATCTGTAGGAGCCAAGGGAAGCATGGAAACTAGAGTGGACATGAAATTGCTGTAGATGTTTTCCTTTCCTTTTCTTTTTACTTATTCAAATACTCTAGTATTACTTATTCATTCAACATAAATTAATCCAAATCTTTATTTTTTTTTTATTCCTGTCACATTACTTACCTGATAGTACGCTCTCATGGTCCAATGTGTGGGAGGAAAGGGTAATGAAGAAGAGATGGTCATAGATAAAAAGAGGATGCTCAAAAAAAAAAAAAAAAGAGGATGCTCAGAATAACATTTGGTCTTCCCTTTCTTCCCAATCCAGTCAGCAAATTCCAGGCAGAGCATTGCTGACTGATTACTAAGAGAGAGTCAATATATTTCATGAACTATGCTAACTAATTCACTTATGTAAGAAGAGACTGTATGGCCCAAATAACATCAATTTTAAAAAGCTACAAAACCTGATATGAACTGTCAGTTCATTGTGCCTTTTTCTTGAGGAGAACTTTTTTCAAAGGATATAACCTGTGATGAAGCAAAAGTATTCTTGGATTCTTCCAGAAAGTTTGTTATCTTCATGTCCTAAACTTGCAACCATGCATTCCACTATTAAGAAGCCTGTGGAGTTCCAGATGCCTGTCCTGCATCTGCCTGCTAACCCTCTAAGCATGATGGATAGGATTTCACTAATTCTGATTAAATGTTTATGATTGTTCAGTTTTGGGGCTTTTAACATAGTAAGTTTGTCATGGTCCCTGTTCAGACTTTGCATCCTGTTTTAATAACCTGTAACCTTAATAACTGGCTAGATTGATTGTGAGGAAGTTTTTTGAATGACTCATCATTTTACAATTCTATAGCAGGTTAATGGTTTTAGAAAATGTTCTTTTACTTAGTAACCTAATTGCAATTGCTATAGGGATTTTGCTGGAGTGTCTATGGGGAGGACATATGCATAGATTTCTCAAATTCTGTAGTGTGGAGTGAGAAAACATTAATCCATGAGTATTTGTACATTTTTCTTGGCCCTCTATTTACCAGGTGTCCTCCCCACTTCCAGTTTGCATGTATTGAAGAACTTAGAGGAAAGCCATACAGTGAATACATTTTTTTTTAGTCAGATATGAGTTCAAATCCTAGCTTTTCTATTTACTGGGAGTAGCTTGGTGATCCAGGAAAAGATATATAATCTCTCTAAACCTCAATGACCTCATCCATAAACTTGAAAATAATAGCACTGACTTCAGACATTGTATAACACTTAAGAAACAGTGAGAACTATTAAAAACAAGAGTCTGAATTTCACTAAATGTGATACATGGAAATCCACTATTGTCTAGATATTTTGCCCCTGCAAAATAGAATGAAGTGGTGTAAAATGGATATTATTGATAGTAGACTTAGTTAGACTATTGAGAAATTGTGGGGCTTTATTTCCCCCCTCAGAGATGCCAGTTTTCTCCTAAAACTTTCTTGACAAGTGTGTTATCAATGAGTGCTCTTGCACGTCAGAGATAGGACAGGGRTTGGTTGCTGACTTTGTCATGGAGATAAAGATAAAGATAGAAGACTGTAGTCAGCTTACTATGAAAGGACTAAAATCAGTGTGTACATGCCAAAGGAAAAGTAATTAATGTGAAATTTCAGTGACACAGAAGAAAAATATTTGCTAAGACAGACTTAACATTGTGGGTCTACCACATGAGATTTTCCACCAGCCAAAGTAAATTAATCTGGAAGGGAACAGGGAACTCAAGCTTTCAACTTGATTAGTGATATGTAATAATTAGATAATTCTAAAATGTGTAGTTTTTCTTTCTGGAAAAGCCATTAATATTATACTATCATAAAATTTATTTTACAACATTAACTTCAGACTGAAAATTTTAGAAAGAACTAAATACAAAATTGATACTAAGTAGATTCCATTTTCTGACTGTTTGCAAACATAATTGTGTTTAGTAAATACCTATAATAGATAATTATGCATTTGTTCTTTCTTAGACATGTCCTAATATTATGAGGCCTATAAAAGAGGACTCAGGGAGGATGAGGCACAAATACACAATATAGTCACATACAAATACTGTGTATGACTAAGGCTGTAATTAAGTTTAACCATTATCACCTCACTTCCTGTGCTTTGGGAACTCTTGTCTGGTATTTCTATTAACTCTTGACCTAAATTGAAGTTGTCAAATTAATATTTGATTCATCATCTCAAAGAGCCTGAAAATCTTATAGAGAAAATTACTTCAGATAAAAAGAATTCACATGCGTTGTAGGGAATCATAATTCAGTTCGGGAAGCCATGTGTCTGAATTGTGATGTGGAACAGGTCTTGAGTTAATTTTGAAACTCTGTTTATCACCTCATTTTTTCTCATCTTCTCCTCCCCCTCCTCCTCCCTCTCTTTGCCCTTCTATCCCTCCTCTTCTACTTCCTCCTCCTTCTTCTGGCTTAAGTTAGCCCACTCTTCCCAGAAACAAGCTGTGATGAAATACAGTAGGTCTTCTCTACAGTGGTTTGGCCTCCATTATATTCTTTTTTCACCAAGGAAGCACGAAAGAGATTCTAGAATTGAGAACCAATCACTGAGTGAACCAAAAACAAGATGCCGCTTCTTAAGATTATATTACAGTAGAATAAAATAGACATTATTATTGCAGTGTGTATATATACATGACTGCATGACCAATGTGATTCTGCAACCTGTACACTCAGAAAAATAAGAAATTATATCCCATCTGATTCAAATATATGATATGTCAAGGTCATTGTACTGTCATGTGTAACTAATTAAAACAAATAAGAAAATTAAAAAACCACACACACAAAAAAAGTTAGTGTGCTGTAGAAAGTTCACACATGCATAGAAGAGTCTGTTTATTATTAGAGTTCAATCCAAAAAAAGGAACATAAATATAAATTTCAAGATTCATTGAAAGAATTGAAAATTCACTATCTGAAAGGAAACATTGCTGTGTTTATTTTTCTGTTATAAACCTAATGTTTTAAAATAATTTCCTTACATATGGCAGGGTTCATAAAAGGAATTTACTTTTAGATAGCAAAGTCCTTCATTTTATCTGGAATGAATAGTGAAAATCTTGTTTAGTTGTTCATACCACAAGTCTTAAATAAGCCCATGTGCTAAACTACTATATTTAAGGGCTTACAGAAATTTTGTAGTACAGTCCCAGGATGTTAGAACACTCTTCATGGCACTTGGAGTGATAGCCTTTGAGCTCAATATATTTGTTGTGAAGGGGTTGGCTGGGTTCATATACCATCTATAGGGCTTGGTTCATGTTGATCATGATCGTGATCTTTTGGCCTGAGATGTTTGTCAGTTTAGAGTCATGTTTTCACTTTTTCCTGAAGACCAAGCATTTTTCTTAAGATTGTAATAACATATTCATTAAAGTGATAAGGAAGCTGTGACCGATCTGTTTTTCATCATTGTAAAGCTGCCGTACATTTCTAAAAGTATTTTGACAAAAATACTTTTGGTGGTGATAAAAAAAAAAAGCTTATCTTTTTTTTTTTTTTTTAAATATGTTGTAGGTGGGAATGAGATCCCGAAACCAAGGTGGCGAAAGTTCATCTAACGGGCATATCTCCTGCCCCAAGTCCTCCATCATCAGCAATGCTGATGATAAGAGTCTCTCAGAAGATGCAAAAAAGAAGAACAAATCAAAGAGGAAGGAGGATGATGTCATGGCTTCAGGAACTGTCAAACGACACCTAAAACCATCTGGAGAAAGTGAACGAAAGCCTAAGAAATCTCTGGAGTTATCCAAAGAAGATCTCATCCAGCTACTCAGCATAATGGAAGGGGAGTTGCAGGTAGAGCCAAACTTAGTCAACTATTGCTTTTAGTTTCTAAGCTATAAAGAGTATAAGTCAATGGCCCTCACTGGACTCTGAGCTTCCTGGGAAAGGAGAAACATCTTCCTCATTCATTTCCAAATCCCAGTGTGTGGCACAAGTTTTAACTGAATAACTATTTGTTCAGTGAATGATAAATGTGAAGGTCCTGATTCCAACTTCAGACTTCTCTAGAAGCAAAAAATTTCTTGATGATTTTGGTAAAAAATTAATACAGATTTTGTCACTTAGTAGGCAATTGGTTAGGTTATCTAATTTAGACATTGTGGTTGAAAATGTAGAAAAGTCATGATTATTAGAAGGGAGTATTAAGATCAATGATTACTTTTGCTTTTTTTTTTTTAACTGGAAGATTGAGTAAAAGAGAGCTAGAAGAAGTACCAGGGGAGAGAAAGAAGGCTTTGTTGAAATCAGCATTGCTACATATCTTTTCTCATTTTTTTTTTTGGTAACTTCAGCTTTAATTTTCTATAGTGTCATTGGGGTTGAAATGGACAACAGCAAGCAGAGCATTGCATTGTGAAGTACCTAATAGTTTCCCAAGCCTTTTCAAGTTTGTTATCTCATTTGATGGCAATAAAATGTGGGATCATTATCTATATTTTATAATTAAAAAAATGGAGATCCCGGGCTGGGGCTCTTGCTCAGTGGCAGAGCACTTGTCTTGCATGTGTGAGGCACTGGGTTCGATTCTAGGCACCACAAATRAATAAAGGCCCATTAACAACTAAAAAAATATTTAAAAAGAAAGAAAGAAACCAGAGACCTGGAGCTGAGATCTGGTTTGTCCAAATCTCATCTCAGGCCTCCAGATTTTTGGCCTGGTGATCTTTCCATTGCCTACACCCACCAACCTTATCTAGTTGCTATGAGCCAGGTCCCTCTTATTAAGTCTTCTGTTTTTAGGAATTCAGTCAGCAGTTCAGTTTTTTTTTGTTGTTGTTGTTGTTTCTGAGGTCTAGACAATTGTATTTCTGGCAGTAAGGGAACAATACTTTTTTTTTTTTTTTTTTAGGACAGAATGACTGTCCTTTTGTTTTTGTTAGGTTTTAGCTTACATGAGCCTCTAAGGGGACACCAACAATTGCATGAAATGAAACCCTTGGCTTACTGGTGCTGTTAGCATCAGAGAGGTAATTCACAACCTACCCTAAACTAGGGTGGGCACTATTCCTGCTCTCATCTGTGTGCACATATAGATAAGGGAACCCCTGGGGTAAAGAAATCTAAAACATACAAAATTCAAGTGTGAAAAAACAAACAAACATGATTGAGTTTACCATTTATAGACTGAGGAAATTACATTTGCATTTCACAGTAAAAGATGAAATTTTCCAGAGTGCCACCATTTCTAAAAATAACTCTGCCATTCCCAGAAATGTCCTTAGTGTTTTGTTTATTAACATTCATTGTGTAAAGAGGCAGAATTACTCCTTCCTTTTAACCAGGCCCCCAAATGACAGCTATTAACTTGAGTACAAGAGAAAGGTATAACTGTTGCCTTAGAAACCTTCACAAAGCAACACTGGCTGCTCTTTTCAGCCGTGTTGGCTCTTGTGCCAGTGGCTCTGGCAGACTGTTTCCTGGAGAACTACTATGTCATGGTGGACTCCATAAGGTATTTAAAATCCATGTGGCTTTTAGGTGGTGCTAGATATACAAAATATAAACCGATACAGCAGGGAAATGGAGGATATTAGCTAGAAGACTCCAAAGAAATGCATTTTGCTTTTCATTCATCTTTATGAATTCAGAATCCCTCCATTACTTGTATTCTTGAGTAACTAGGAATAAGTAAAAAAAAGTGTACAATATCGTTTGTGGTGAATGCAAAGAGAATTTTAAGGAATTCCATGATGAACTCATTTGCAAAGCAAATTATCCGTCACACACAGACATATGTATTTGTAAGTGCAGATTTTGCAAATGCTAGATTTGTTTAAAGTGAGAGGTTCCTATATCAAGAGCTGTAGCTATCGGTTTTTTAGTGGGTACTTTTCCTCTGTTAGCGTTGTCACATTGGGGAGGGTGTTGTAGCTAAGAGTGGGAGGCAGTTCACATTAGCAGATGAGAGTGGGCAGGTGAAAATGTGGCAGCTATGTGCTAGATTTGCCAGAAAAGAGATTTTTTTAAAAAATCATCTGAAGGGCTGTTGCTAGAAAGTGAAGCAGGAATATGCTTTGTGAAGTAAGTTCCCTGTTGCACAGGCCTATGGCTTGACATATGTGGGAACATTTAGTGCCATCTCACAAATCTTCAATGGCCACATATTGCTCTTTATGGGGTGGCTGTGTATGACTCAAATGCCCTCACTCTGCAGGTGGTATTCCAAGGTTCTATAAAACACTGGGACTATTAGGCACCTTCAAGGTGATTTATCTATTCCATCTCCTTTATTTTGGTTATGTAACTGACCCAAGGTGGCATAGCAATCTTGTTACAGTTGTTTTAGATCCAAATTCCCTGTCTCACTGTGTAATGTCTTTTTCATTCTATCACTTTCACACTGGGGATGTTCAAGTGTAGTTGGACTTCAGGATCTTTATATTTATTCTTGGTTTTCAGGATTTCCTTCATGTAGATTCATAAACTCACAAACCAAAGCCATTTTATGAAAAGATGAAACTTTGTAGGTGATAGAAATTGAAGATTTCTATCCCATCAGGGAAATGGGATGGGATCAGAGCCTTAAAGTTGTAGTGATTCAGATCCTTAAGAAAAAATGGGGAAATGCAGGGATGTCACATGGCAATGTGTGCTGGGCACTACTGGCTCTGTATTCACTACTCTATGGGTAATGTTAGCTGAAGTTGTATAAYAAGACACCTTAGAAGGACCAAAGCTACAGGTCAGTAGAAGTAGGGTGATGCAAAGAAGGAAGGACTTAGTATTGAGGAGATAACACTAAGATCAAGTCTGCCTGTAGGAGTTTTGCCTCAGAAATAACTTGGGGGCGGGGAGAAGATGGAGGATCCTTCAGACTTTTCATGCCAATTTTCTTCTCCTCAGACTCTCTTTTGATCTCTCTAATACTCTTCAAATTCATAGCCAGCATTTTGCATACTGTAGATAATTCTGTGTGTTTTGGTGTGGGGGAGGGAGACTAATATCCCTAGGCTTTTGAAACACGTTGAGTGATCTATAGCAATTTGCTGAATCAGCATTATATGCACCATAATTTTTGTTGTAGGCACTGGCTCTTTACAAAATTTGAAAGTTTGATATTTTGTTTGCCAATCCAGGTATCTCATGAATACTTAAAAAGTGCACTTTCAATGAACGTGTATTGGAAACAGTTGCTCCTACCAGAGATTTTGCATTTTAAAGAGTCTAGTCTAGAACTGGTACCATTGTGAATCTTGTTCTGGAGAGGGACACCTTCCAAACTTTTCTCAGCAGATGTAGACCTGTTGTCTCAGCACAGTGACTGGCCAGTGTAGCCCTACACCAAAGTAGCAGGGATAGTTTCTGTTATTACACTTCTGTCATTAGCTGGTTCCAATAACAAGTACTTTCTAATAAATTGGAACATTTTTACTCTCTGGGTGAAAAACTGGTTACATATTTCCCAGACTAAACTGAAAGTAATGAAATAGTACACCCAGACCATCACTTGGGCACCATGATTAATTTCCACTTGTATTTGTCCAAAAATAGCACTTTAAAAAATCTAGTCAACTTGGCTGTACTAAAAACAACAAAACTTCAAAAGAAATGGTACTCACATCAAAAAACCATAACATAGAAACCTTGGCAAAAGTATAATCTTGTAAAGTGATCCAAGAGCAATTCACAAATTAATTCTTTTTCTTGATACAAAAAAATGAGCAGTCATTTTATATGGCAAATTCCCTTGATATATTCTTTTGAACAGTTCTTAGAATAAAAAACAATCCTCAAATTGGGTTTCATCATTTTTACCTTTGTTAATTATTTTCTACCTGCACATAAGAAGGCACAGAGAAAACTAGACAACACAACTAGATAATGCACCACCATTTCATTTGACTTCACTGTTCTCTAGGCTAAGTCAGAGACAGAGTGACTGATAGGTCGAGGAATCTGTCTTCATCCTGGGAAACTGGCAGAATATTGTATTTAAAAGATAATTTATGARATAGGTTGTATACCTAAGTATTGTTAGAAGTGTCCTCTATTCTATTCTTTTGGAGTTCCTAGCCATTTTCTTTAATACTGGTCAGTAGTGTCTCTCTACTTCTGTATTACCTATTGTAGGTAAGCCTGTACTTCTTTCTCACTAAAAGAGTTCATTCATTCTTAGAGCTTTAATTAATTGCTGATTAATTAACTCAAAATTGTTCTAATAATATTTTAAAAACATGATCATTATGCAAGAGGTTTGAGGAATGCAAATAATAACAATATCTGTAGCTAAAAATTCGTACTATGTGCTGAGTGATTTTAGACAGTAGGTATAATAGTATTCATGAAAAGGAGCTCATGACCTGGTGGGATTGATAAGAATGTAGACGGATGAGTATTCTGCAGGGTAATTTCAACACAAATTATGGGAGTACAAAAGCAGGATGGATTGTGGAAATCTCAGGATATAGGTAAAGTTTCACTAAAGAATTGAATCTTAAAGAATTGGTAGATTTTGGACAGGGAGAGAAGAGCTTACAGATCAACATGAGTAGAATCAAACCRGGGTGGTTGGGAAAGTTGTGTTAATGAGTGTGGAGTCGGGCTTCAGTGGAGAGAGACCTGGAACAGCAAAACTGCAATCCCCATGTGGACACTCACTATAAGAGGTCCAGCTGGAAAATTGTCAGAAGGTGTGCACATGGCTCAGGAGTAGACTGATGTAGAAATCGGGGAAGTCAAGATTGCCAAAAAGAAGAGAGTTTGTGTCAGTCAAATCAGCAGAAAGTTCCAGTTRGATAAGACCTAATGTTGGCTCTTTGAGTTTGTGAACCTGGRGTCAGTAAGTTTAAGTC